AATGGTTAAAAAATGGCCTCCTTGTTTACCATGTGTTTAATTTATTATTTAATTTTTCAACAGCTCTACAGTGATGAATATGATCGCAATTGAAATTCCTACTATTTAAATTGAATATATAATTAAATAAAAAAAATTCAGAAATTCACGATGGGAACATGTTCCTGTCTCCGCCATGCTTACCAATTAGGACGACTATCTCGTGAACCAAACGTTCCAAGAATTCTTGACGCAGTTCAAATTGAAGCAAGCGGTTCTAGCAGTTGCACAGCTTGTTAATAGAACAAACAATAATGACACACTGACACGTTTGGTAATTAGATTGGATGGTGCTGACACGCACTAAAGAAAAAAGAGCTAAAATTTTGTTTATTCAGTCCAATCCATAACTCATACCAAACATTTCCTAGCAGTTCCGCGGCTCGTCAACCATTCTTCTAATCACCATATAGTTGGGCTCTTTGAAAGTCACCTACCAGGAATACATAAAGAACACGCTTAATAAATACAATGGAGAAATAACTACTCTTGAAGGCTTATAGTTCTTAAAGATAATCCCAAGTCTCTCAACTCAATGTTACACAGATGATTATACCCAGAATCTTCTGTATACAAGCCTGTCATTGCCCATAGACATACCTTTTCCGATCTCAACCATCTAGAGAGGAAGTTATTGCCTTTTAAGTGCATTCATTTTATCTCTGAGATAGTAAAGCTTGGCCCTGCGTACTTTCTTCTTGTCCAGTACCTTTATCTCCTTTATATTTGGCGAATACCTGTCATAATCTCCTCATTTAGTCATCCTTCACAGATTCATCTATCAAAAGTAACTTAACAGCCTGAAATAACCACAATGATGGAAAGTGGTAGCAAAAGAATAGGTGCGTTTCACACAACACGACACACTGATCAAGAGGTTAACCCGAAGGTCATTTTATAATGTCACAAAGAATTGAGTTATAAGTGCATCCTTTTCCAAATTGAGGAAACAAAAAGGGAAAATAATTCAACCTCTAACCTAGTAAAAAATATAAATGCATGAATACTCACAAAGGGAAAAGAGACTCAACACCAACTCCAGCTACTAGTCTTCTTATTCTAAATGTAGTATTCAAACCAGCATTTCGTTTTGCTATAACAATGCCTTTTATAACTTGAACACGTCTTTTGTTCTCTGGGACTTCCTGTGATAGCAAGATCATAGCAAAGGGCATGAGTATGGAGCATCAAAACTGAAATTACTGAGCCTGACAATGTTATGGCAGCAGAAGAATTAGCAAACAAAAGAACGATTTTCCAGTAAAAGCATTCCGTACCAATTTGAGTTGGACAATGTAACCAGGCCTTATGTCAGGTATCTCTCGCTTTTCTTTCACTTCCTCGACTGCTTCCTTATCAAGTATCTGCAGTTTGTATCAATAAAATAAAATCCTCACTGTAGGACAGTGCCAAACTGTAATGTGAAAGGAAATAAATGACCACGAAGAATATTTTGATTTTTTGTACCTGCATTATGTGTCTGGCTGTTTTATCAAGCCTCTTGAATTTGATGCATTGTGGCACATCATCAGAAGTGGAAGCATCTTGAGGAGCAGGTGCCATTGTTGTCATACATCTAGTGGGTAAAGTCAATACCTTAGCAGCTGACAGAGTCAAGCCTAAGCTTAGACTTCTGTAAGATGGAGCCTTAAAAGCTATCTCATCGCTTTCAAATTTGGTGACAGAACATTTGTTCTGAAAAACATGAATTCTTTCACCTATCAGAAGCAGTTTAAAAAGAAAAAAGGTGCTGCAGTGTCATGTAGAGGTAGCTTTGAGCCAAATATATGGTTTGTTATAGTTTCAATGACAAGCATGTCAAGTTTCCATTATTTTGTTTAATATTGTGGCATTGTAAACATTGTAAAATGGGTCATTTGATCAAAGCTCAAAAGAATATGTAAATGTGCATACAAATATAGCTAGACACACACCACAAAACATACGAGTATAAGACTTGGTCTAATTTCTAACAAGTTTAGCTCACTCAACCAAATCCATGTTGCCAAAAATTTGGAAACACACACCACAACACATACGAGTATAAGACTTGGTCTAATTTCTAACAAGTTTAGCTCACTCAACCAAATCCATGTTGCCAAAAATTCGGAAACACACACCACAACACATACGAGTATAAGACTTGGTCTAATTTCTAACAAGTTTAGCTCACTCAACCAAATCCATGTTGCCAAAAATTCGGAAACACACACCACAACACATACGAGTATAAGACTTGGTATAATTTCTAACAAGCTTAGTTCACTCAACCAAATCCATGTTACCAAAAATTGCAAATCCATGTTACCAAAAATTGGGAAGTATTTATAATCAACAGGATCTACCATTAAAAGCATATTGAAGATAGGGTTAATTTGAAGAACAAAAGAGTGAGTTGCACGAATTATGAAAACCGAAGGCCAAAATAGATGGGCAAAGGAGGGGATGCATCTTTGAGAAGGGACAAATGACAGAGAAACTGTATGACTGATGATATCATAGTTCACAAAGCTAGCGTCAATGTAAAATGCAGATCAACCAAATGAAATTGCCATGAAGCGGAGGAACAGGAACATATATATTTGAATGCTAATCTTGATCCAAAAGCTTAAAATATTGAGTTTTGTAGCATTTCTTATTACTTTCCTTCATTTTCCTTCATTAGTAGTACTTTCCCTCTTATTATTTTCCTTCATTTGTTGCATTTATTTGCTTTTGAGAGGTTAGGTTTATGTCTCCCTTCCTTTGTTCTCGTGAGTTTAATTATATATATACAGTTGGAGAATCCTAACCCTCATCATCCTTCCCTGGTGGTGCAACCCACTGAGGTTGCGTCATGTTTTGCTTTTAAAAATAAAAAAATAAAAAATCCTGCGCGATCAAACATCCAGTATCAACAAGCTTTCATGTGCACCCCTCTGTAACTAGCAATTCCTCCAAGCTATAGTTTGTGCATTGCATCTTAACCATTCACCAAGGATCAGGTACATTTTTTCTTGCTCTTCAATAACACAATCAGCTCATCATTATTTTCCGATCCAACATGCATTGCTTCAATTACTACCCACATGGTCTGGTCCCATCATCACCATTCACCAATGTGATTTCAATCACATTTCCCCCAAAAACCATTATGTTATTGTCCTCCCTAAAACAACAGATCCTGGCTGTTGAACTTTGGCTTCAATACCACTAACCAAATTTCACACACACATGAACAATAAAGTTGTTCAATCAATAAATAGAGTGAGCTGGAAATGAAGGACGACCATATGGTTGCTGAACTTTAGAGAAATGTCAAATGCAGGAAAAAGGAGTAATTTGAACTAAATGAAAACACAAGTTCACATTGTTACTTAGCTCCTGTTCATTGCAGCATCATATCTACCTCTGATTTCTATTTAATCTTTACGCTCCGGAATGAGTATAGCTCAAGAATGGCTTTAATGAAGCTCAGTTAAACTTGACTTGTTAGAAAAATAAGTGAATCCCAAAGCATATCTGTATTATCGTCAAGAGTTTGAGCATAGTTTTAAGCTCAACTAAGATTTGGCAAGGCAACTCATTGCACTGGGCCAAAGAATGGGATAACCATGTTCAGATTTTAGAACAACGCTGGGATAGTCAAAATTTCAAGACCGAACTCTAAGGCTTGCCAGAAAAACTACACCATTCTTGAGAACCTCCACAACCTCATCTTTATTAAAAAAAAAAAAAAAGAGGGGGAAACCTTAAGAGTTGGTTCATTGGTTCATTTTTATCTTCATTAATCATGCTTATCTTCTATCTTTTTTCTTTTTTCTAATTCAAATGGTAAACCAAACCAAACCATGGCTTACTCCAACTTTACATATACAGATCAGAGCCATGTGCTTGCTCTCCTTTCTTAATTTCAGATTTACAGATTTATGTGATATGCTTAATATAAATTTAAAAGAAACTAAACAGCAACACTAAAAAAACAATGGTTTCCATGCCCATATCAAGCTTTAGACCTTCTGAAAAATTAATTTTAACCAACAAAATAAAACTTCAAGAGAAAGCTTGTAAATTGTTAAAATTCAATAACCAATAACCATATGTTACATGCCATTAAAACATACCGGAAAGGATGTCCGGCTAGAACCAAAACAAGGGTTGAATTGCGATGAGTTAGCAAAAGAGTGACCCTGAACGTTCAACTCTAAAGAACAGATTGATTTAAACTCAACATTTTTCAGATTGCTGACTGTTTGTCTCGTGGCAAAACGAACTTTCCCAAATAATGACTGCATTTCTCTTCTCTGAATTAAAACCTGTATTACAAAGAAAACGTGACGGAATCAAGTCACATAAACTAATCATCAAATCATTTTCACATCTCAACCAATCATTTATCAGAGGTAGAGGAGTCCATGTTCAAGCTGATAACAAAACCTTAATGCAGCGAATCCCATTTCATCAACAGAGAAATTTAAAACTGTCTATTCAAGGCTCCACTTCCACCGGTCAATTCTCACACAATTCTCTTCACGGGTGAAAAACGTACTTAAACAGGGGAACTTAACTCGAATAAAAAAAAAAAAAAAAATCAAAGTTCATATCATTTTAATCTAAATATTTCAATTAACAACCTACGACCAACCCAAATGAACATAATATCAGAAAAAATACGCCATCAACAAAATTCAAAATAACAAAGAAAAAGGAAAACAAGTCCTCACAGAAATATTTGATTTGGATCCTGGGAGGCAAGAGACGAGATTGAGAGGCGCCGGTAGTCGGTAGTGGAAGGCGGCGAGAGACGAGAGTGAGAGCTGAGGCACCGGGCGGAGTCGCGAAGAGGCGGAGCGATGGGAGGAGTGAAATATGTGGTTGCGTCTTTTCCTCTTGGGCTGCTGAATTCAAAAGCCCAATAGACCAAGCAAAAAATAAAAAAAATAAAAAAATATGGAAAGACAATACATAACTCCTACATATAAAAATCATATTTCAAAACCAACAAACTTGTAGAATTATTTAAAAATTCTAGTGTTAATTTTAATTAATAATATATATAGGGTATGTTTTGAGCTACATTTTTTCAAAAAAATACATTTTTAAACAGTGATTTAATATTATTTTAACTACACATTTTTCAATAAAATAATACTACACACAAATTCAAAACTTTTCTTTATTTTTTACCACACATTTTTCATCAATATATTATTCAAAAATACATTCCATAAAAAATAATGTGGCTCAAACAACTTATAATATATAATTAATTGAAATTGATTATCTCAATCCAATTAATAGTATTCCCACCCCTATACCCTAAATTCCCCATCCCTACCCTTTGAAAAATTTTCAAAAAATTGAAAACTGAAAATTACACTCCACTCCCATAGAACCATCGTATCCCTCCCCATCCCCATCTCCATCCCATCCTCAAAAAATTTTTAGACATTAAAAACTGGATATTATACCCTCATTCCATGGAACCACCATACGACACCTCCACCCTATACTGAGTAGAAAATTCCTCAAAAATAGGAAAAAATAATTTATCTCTCTATACCCCCATTCCATCCTCATTGTAGAAAAAAATTCAAAATTTGTGATAAGCAGTAATGGTACATTTTAGGTGACCATATTTGTCACTAAATATGTTATCTATAAACAAATTTGTTGTTTGTGACTATATCTATATTATATGTGATTATTTGTGTCCAGATCAATCTTGATGTTGGTGGTATGTTACCTAGTCACAACCAGCCACAATTAATACAAAATTGGTCACAACAAATCATAATAAACACAATTGATCACAAAGGGCCACCCGTAAAAAAATCTACACACGGTCCATAGCACCACCACGACGTTATCTCCAATGCACCACTATTACCACTTTCAACTTAAATTCAGGACCATAAATATTAAATTCACCGACGTGTGTTATTTGTGACTAACTATGATCAAATTTATCTTCCGTGTGACCATCTGTGACTAGGCCAGTCTAATTTGTAACTCACTATTAATCTGGTCACAAACAATCACAATGAAAGCAAAGTTAGTGATGTCCAATCTCAATAAACACATCATAGAGAGTTGTTGCAAAAAAAATTTGCACATACAAAGACCTACACTACAATCCACGAACACTCACCACCACCACCTCTCCAAGCACCACCACTACCAACTTCAACTCAAGTCCAAATTCACAACAACAATCACCATCATCGTTACTTCCACCAACACCAACCACCATCATCATTGACATCACCGCACCACCACCACCACCAAATGTAAATTAGCACAACTATAGATTCATACCACCCACGTATCCACCACCGATACTAATCAAATGTTGTGTTACGGTTGTCGCTAACAGCAGCACTAATGCCAACACCACCACCACCACCATCAAATTCTCAGCCATCAAGTCTTAAACCAATTCCATCTTCACCACCAGTTTTTTCCCTACATCCACAAATGTACTCACCTTTATCATCACCCTACTCACCCCCAACACCTAAATTCCCACCCCCTCCACCTCCAGTACAATCACCACCATCGAAATCAACTCGAGTCAGGTTGATTAATCAGAACACCAGAAGGTACAACTGCGTTGGAACCTCCTCTAAAATCACTAGTAAAGGCTCTTTTTTGGTAATCGTGAACCAATCGACCAAGAATGTGAATTTAGCTTGAGCCGATTCATAAGAATCATGCGGCTCCAGCGGGAGTGGCCTTTAGCGATGGTGGCTAGTACTACATCAATGGCTTCACGGACAGCTCGACGACAAAATATAGAGAGGGGGTGAGTTGGGTGGAGAGGGTGATATAGAAAGAGAAGAAAAGGTTAGGAATGAAATTAGGTTTTGAACAAAATAGGGGTGGGTGGGGTTGAACATGTGGACTAAAATTTAATTTTATAATAATATTATTAATATTTAAAAGATGAAATAACACTTGATTTTTGAAAAGAAAAGTTTTAAGATTTGATATTTGAAATGTATACTTATAAGGTAGGTTTTTGGGTAATTTTCCCAAAAATCGAAAGTAATTTTCTCTTGGGCACGTGCCTACTTTAAGATTCTGTTTGACTTCGTTTAGAACAAATTTTTTTTATTTTATTTCTCATACTCATTTTCAATCACACATTCATACAATAAGTTTTATGCACGTAAATCCAAATTTTTTTTCCTACATTTAACCACACATTCTCAAAAAATAATTATTCAAAACGTCATTTCCCTCTAATTTCTCTTTATAATGTTTGTCAAACAAGGGTTAATCCTCAACTACCTGTGATTAATCAATTCTTGTTTCATATTCATAATCGATATTCCTAATACACTATTTTTTCTTTCAAGATAATTAATCCAATATTTATAATCCAATTATATCCATATGGAGTATCTGAATAGATAAAAATACAAGACAATACTATTATATCAGTTAAAATTGCATTAAGAAAAAACGTAAATATATCTCTATCTATTATAGGATTAGTATCTAGTTTTGTCCATTATTCGAGTTGCAAAAAATGATTACCTCTTGGTATCAAAAGGAATGCCAAAAACAATACTAAGATTAGTTGAGTAATAGCACGAAAATTCCAATAACAAACAATCAACAATCACAAGATTTAACCTATAAATAAGCAACTTATTAAATCAAGTTGTCATCAAGGTTATAACAATGATCCTAACAACAACAAAATCTAGCCTATCGTGTTATTTCTGAATCTCTACCTGAAGATAGAAGTACAATCCTTAATCTTGAATCTCTTTAATATCTTAACATGTCCAACCAATCATGAGGATACGGGTGTTTGAATTGATCTTTAATATGTTCAATCTAGCTAGAGCAGCCTTGGAGTACAACTTTCTCATCACTAGAAGCTTCTAAGGGCATTTTTAAGAACACTAATGCCTTATGCACATAATTGGGTCACAGAAAATCCACAAATATTTAAAATTTTTGGAAACCATGTGCATTTCACGTGAGGGAGCAGCTGGTCAGTTTGACTAATCTAATAAGCCAAATGAAAATCTTGAACCCAACAGAATTGAAGCCAGTAGAGGCGTTGAACACCAAAACGAAAATCCCGCCTTCTTTTCCCCTTCGATTTCACTCTCAGTGTGGTCGTTAATTTCACATTCGATGAAGGCGAAATCTCCCGACTCGTCATTGCCCTTTGCAAGTCTTTCCCAACCCATCATTGTCCTGCGCAAAGCCTTTCCTCCAAATCGAAGCCATTGCTCCCCAACTGTGAAGATGGTGATGCCCAACTCCGATAGTGGCCGAATCTACAATTCCTCGACACCGGAAAACCTAGTGGAGCCAAGCTCAGGTAATGTCATTATGTTTCAGATGGATTTCGATTTCTCAGAAATTTACTGAAAATGCGCGAAATCGAAACATTCGTAAATGTTGGTTGTTTGAGATGATAGTGTCCTTTTTATAGTGAGAATACCTTGATGCTTCTTGAAAATTATAGTGTCGTTTTTATAGTTGTTCTTCTAAGGTTAAGACTGTTAACAGTAAATGACTTCTTGGCTTTTACAAATAAGCATGACCATTGGGCATATATTTTATACACTTATGCCTCGTCTTTTATTATCTCTGCATTGATACCTTCGATTGTGAAACGGCTAAGAATTTGATTCCGTGATTGTCCCTTCATAAATACAATAGAAGGTATAAAAATGCTCGAATAAAATTTTGAATCTAAGAATTCTCTGTTTCTATAAATTGCCTATAACTGAAGGATGAGATGTACTGAACATTGTCACTCATTGTGTTATAATAGGAGCAAATATGAAAGACACTGCTGATGAGAATGTTGCGGACAATGTAATATCATTGAAAGAGCAAACGTTAGGAGAAAATGATCCGATGGTGCTGGAGGTGGGAATGACCTTCAATGAAGAAAAAGAATTATGGGACTTTTATAAAATATATGTGTATTATGTTGGGTTTCCAGTTAGGAGAAGGAATTCGAAAAAAGGGGATGATGGGAAAATGAAGTATGTCACCTTCACATGTAGTCATGAAGGCCGAAGAACAACTAGTACAAGCGGTTCTTTAAAGCCCCAACCAACAATTCAGACAAATTGTAAAGTCAGGATCACTGCATGTTCAGATTATCATGGGATCTGGAGAATTAACAAAGTCCACCTCGACCACAATCATAAAACAAGTCCTTCGAAGTCGAAGTAAATGATATGGCAGGAATTCCATTGCATAAAAGCTACAACTCCGTAGTTGTTGAAGCGGGGGATATGGAAATATTACTTGCGTGGAAAATGATTGTAGAAATTATGTTGAACAAGTGAAACGATTAAGGCTTGGGGAAGGAGATGCTGCAGCAATACAATCCTACTTTTCCAGGATGCAAGCCCAATGCTCAAGATTCTACTTCAACATAGATTTCGACGATGAGTCTCGTTTGAAAAATGTATTTTGGGCAGATAATAGGTGTCGGGAAGCGTATAAAGAATTTGGCGACGTTGTCACATTTGACACCACTTACTTAACTAACAAGTACGATATGCCTTTTGCTCCTTTTGTTGGCGTTAATCATCACGGAAAATCAATACTATTTGGTTGTGGTTTGTTGTCGAATGAGGACATGGATACTTTTGTGTGGCTATTTGGGACGTGGCTTCAGTGTATGTATGGAAAAGCTCCCCCACGGAATCATTACTGATCAAGATAGGGTTATGCAAAATGTGATTGGATTGCTTTTCCGGATACAAAACATCGATGGTGTTTGTGGCATATTCTGAAGAAATTGCCAGAAAATTTTGGATACCACAGTGATAAGGCTTCGATTTTTTCGAGCATACATGGCTTGGTGTATGATTCGCAGTTTGTTGAAGAATTCGAAGAAGGTTGGAGAGTGATGCTGAACACATATGACTTGCATAGTAATGATTGGTTATCAGGACTATTTGAAAATAGA